AAGGTGGACAAGTGGCTGCGGACATTCGACGAGTATCTTGAGGAAGGGGATTTGGTTGCTAGTGAGAAAACTGACGACGATGACATGTCGGTCAACGAACACGATGAGGGGCGGTGCGATCACGCCAGTGATGAAGACATGGTGGAGGAAGAGGGAGCTTCTTGTGTTGACTGGAATAGTGAAGACCAACAAGTGTGGGATGACATCTTACTCAATAGTGCTTTACCGAATGTTGAAGACACGGGGACAGAGCAGAGTAGTGAACTTGACAACGCTGAAGACCAGCAGTTGTGGAAGGACATTATTCGCAATAGTTCTCTCCCAGACTATTCCAGCGATAGTGATTTGAAGAAACGCAGGGAGGCGAAGCAGGCTATTCTAGCGATAGTGCGTTTGAAGAAACGCAGGGAGGCGAAGCAGAGAATGCTGACGAAGACAGCAATTGTGAAGATGATGATATCGACAGTAAAGTAGTTGAATACGATGATGAAGATGTCACGGACCTTCTTGTGATTGACTATGAAGTCAGTGAAGACGAGTGTGATGTCCTCTTTGATCCCAGTGCCGAGATAGAAGTGGAAAACTGTCTGTTCGATCTCGGTGATGATCTGGAAGCAGGCGACAGTGATTCTCCAGACGAAATAATGTTTGGTCGTCGACGCCAAAAAGAAGATGAAGTCAACCGAGTAAGAGATCCAAAGCGGGCAAAAGTGGATGCAAAGAGGCAGAAACGGGAGGCTCCAGTACCCCGCCCACGACTTCGTGAAGTGCACGAGCGTCACCCACCTGACCGATATGAGAATTTTTCGGTGAATTCGGCTTTTAAGGCACTACACGCGGATTTGCGTGGAAACAATGGAATTCGAGCGAGTAGTGTGAACATACCTCGGAACTATTGTACTGGCCATTAAAGTTGGTACCAAACTTTGGTCCACATTTACTCGTAGAAGATGATATTTTTTCATATATAATTACACATGCCCTAGCGTAATTTGCGTCTGTAGATGCCGAATCTGCAGTCAGATTTGTCTGATTAAGACTCCTTACACTCGATAATCCTCCTAGAAAAAATGCAACCGATTTCCCACAAGTTTGAGGAAAGGGCTCAATTAGGTTTAGCTAATGACTGGCAGGATATACAGTTGTTGATTGATTGATTTGTTAAAACACATGTTGAACCATATGATGTTTAGGGTCAGCGTGATGACCACTGCTGCTTGCGTCCATCTCGAAATTGTAACACAAGAAGTTAATGCATTAATTAAATATTACCTTGTATAGGTCAATTATTCACTGCTAATACTGGCTTCGCACTCTGAGGTTTTATCTACGAATTCATCAGCCACTTCTACCTCATCGTCGTCCTCCTCTAGAACCCGTAAAAATTGATTTTCTTCTTTCTGAATGTGTCTGTGAGCCTTCTTCCAGTCTTCGGACTTGATGTGTTCTTTGCTGCCGGCTACGGTTTCCTCCAAATCATCAATAGTTTTTGCTGGGTGTCTACTTATCCATCCTTTCATGTTTCCCCATATAAGCTCAATGGGATGTAGTTTTGGGTGGTAGGGAGGCGTGAAATATACAAGATGTTTGTACATGGTGGCGATAGCTGTCACCATATAAAACGGGGGAGATTTGTTAGCACGCATAAACTGTAAAAGCGGAGATTTAAATAAGCTTTCGTCGTGCTGGACGCCAGAAAAAACAAGTTAGATAAATAAATATAAAGGTTTTAAACACACGTACCTTTATTCCTCAGCCACAACAGTATTTCCGCACGTTTAGAGCGCGTTGTTGGAGCTGGCAAAATGTTGCGTTTGTGGTATGCTGCCCCATCCAGGTAAATGTTACATGGGCCATGCTCGAGGAGAAGTTTCTGGCAAAGATCTGTAAACCAGAACTCAAACTGTGTTGCGTTAAAATTGCCATGGTAGGCATGTTAGTAAAATTAAAAATGTATGTTTTAAAATAATACCGTACCGAGCGCCTTTGCCACTGGCCGCATGTCGTTTGCGGTTTCCACCCAGCCAAGTTGTCCCGCACACATGGTAGGATTCATCTAAATACACTTCTGGTCTGATGGGGTTGTTGTTTTTGTCGCGGTTTGCAATTTTTCTCTGTAAATATGTCGCTCTGAAGGCAGCATTTTGCACAGAATCTGCTAGGTAGTGACGATTTTCTCCCTTGATATAGCGATATACGAGACGCCGAAGCAACCGGCTCATCGACCGCCTCGAAATAAAAATATTTTTACACTTCAAAACTTCGTCGCAGACCATTTTGGCTGTAATTGGTTGGCGTTATATGTTAGAATGGTCCACGTACGAGGCCATTGTAGGTGCTACGTCTTCGACTTCGTAGCTTTGAGGGTGACCACGACGCTCTTCCGGTTGCTTCATGATTATAAAATATTACGTTATACAGGTAACAGATATATAACGTTAAGATATCAAATTTGATCTTACCTCAGCAGGCTCGGGGTCTTAGTGGTCGTTGTAAACCTTCCAGACGCGCCCAACCGTGCTCTCCGGGTCCCAAGACACTCCTTGACTAACTTGCGTGTCCTTCCGGTCGCACCGTTGCCCTCTGTCCGATTTTTGAAGAAAAACTTGTAGGCGTTCACAATCATAGTACTCTCGCCATCACTCAACTTCTTTCCCTTGACCATTATTTTGAATAGAATCGCTCAGTAGTACTAGCTATATGAGTAGCGCATGAGCCTAAGCTTTTTTGGTGGTACGAGCAGGTCTAGACGTCTAAAAATTGTAGAGTTATAGGTAGTTACGACTGCATGTTGGAATATTTGGTACCCATTTTAATGGCCAGTACAATATCGCGAAGCGATGAGGTCCAAGTTTGCTAACGAGTGGAGAGCTGCTAGGGACGAGGAAATTCAGGCTCTCAAAGACAAGGTATGATTCCGAGAGCAGAGATGCCGGTCGGACAACGAGCGATAAAGCCAATGTGGGTGTACAGTGTCAAGGCTGATCACCTTGGATACGTCGTTCGGTTCAAGGCTCGGATTGTGGCGCGAGGTGACAAACAGCGCCAGGGCATTGACTTTCAGGAGACATTCTCACCCGTGGTAAGGATGGATTCTTTCCGAGTGTTTCTCGTGGGGTGCGTCCTGCTGCATCTAATAGTTTACCAGGGTGACAATAATGCAGCGTATCGGAATGCATTGCTCGCGATCAAGCAGTATCTTGAAGAGGTGGAAGGCTATCCGAGTGAAGAAAATGGAATGATCTACATGATCAACAAAGCTGTGTACGGCCTTCGACAGTCAGGGCGTGAATGGAACAGTGAGGTGAATTCGTGGTTAATTCGATTTGGATTCAAGCGGTGTGCAACTGAGCCGTACTTGTATTTTTACAACCAGGATGGAGAGTTCGCGTTGGTTCTTCTCTACGTAGATGACATCCTGTGTGCGACTCGGAACGAGGCGTTCAAGAAGCGATTGTTCAGCTAGCTGGATGAAACTTATGAAATCAAGGACCAAGGTTAGGTGAGTACCTATCTAGGCGTGGAGGTGCAACAAAACGAAAACTCAATCCAAATTCATCAGACTCGGTACTTTGAGGAGATCATCGACAAGTTTCACTTCAACGATGCACATCCGAGCAGAATCCCGATGGAGACGAAGCTGCGTTTGACTGTGAACGACACGGATGCTGGCCAACACAAGAAGGAGCTTGGTTACGGAAAATCCTTTCCCTATCGTGAGCTGATAGGTTCGCTAATGTACATAGCGACCTGTACTCACCCGACATCGCGTATGCTATCGGCCAGCTGAGCCGGTACGTCCAACAACCAACTCAACAGCATATTGGAGCCGCGAAGTGCGTGCTCAGGTACTTGGTTGGGATCAAGGGCATGGGCATTGAGTACTCGGTCGGCAAAGAATCTCAAAAGACGAATCCACTCGTCATCGACGGGTTTTGTGATTCGGATTGGGGTAATGACTCTGACAGACGCAAGAGTGTGGTGGAGCGGGATCAGCAAAATCTGCGAAGATGCTGGA